CCCCAAAACCCCAAAACCCCAAAACCCCATGAGGGCAATATCAAAATGAATTAATGTAATTTTTAGCCAAAAGCAATTATATAAAATCAATAATGAATAGCACTTTGATTATCTTAGACTCTTTCAAAGCCATCTGGTCTGATAAAATTAGCATTTCTTGAACTAGATCTTATAATAATGTCATCATCATCGTCTTGCTAATGATAGTTTTGCATTCTTTAGAGATTTTGCTTTCTCCTATCAGTGTCAGCAATTTCATTATTGTTTTCATCATACCACCCTTATCTAGTTTTTCTGTAAATTGTATAAGCAACTGAACCAAAGAACAATGTCCCTAAAATAACTGACATTGCAATGATTACTGCAAGGTTTTTAGTAGTTTTACTGGTGAAAATAGTTTCAGGTTCTGGATAACTCGCATTTACTACGTAGTATTAATCTACTACACAATATGAGAGCTTCTAATAATTTTAATTCTCCTCAACCTACTCAGATAATTCTTTCAAATTGCAAGTATTTGAGTATTATCTCACCTAAATGTTGTATTAATTCGGCTTTGGAAATGCTTAGCATCTTAAAATGTCAGATGTGTGATTGAAAGGGGCGAGCAGAGTGAATGTGCTTGAGTGTGAATGCACCTATGCAAAAATCATTCCTTCCTCTGACAATACTTCAATGGGTAAAATAGTGTCTGTTTAATTCAGTTAAAGCACGAAGTATTTTGACTTAAATATCAAGTTTGAATTGTATTGAAGAACATATAAAATGGAATCCTTTGATAAGATATATAGGTACTAATCATCAACTCTGATAGTGGAGATTAAATTCTTTTACAGCCAGTCATACTATTAATGTTATCTAAATAATTTTAGATACCTGTTTTTTACATCAATCTTATATTCTATTATGCCCAGCTGATTCCCATCGTCAATAAATAGAATTATTTGCTCTTTTTGTATTATAAAGTCATAGACTTTCTCTATTTCAGTGATGTTGATCTATGAATTACTGCCATCATCATTTTAGGATACAGCAATTATTAAATCATAGATAACTAACTTTCTCGCTATGTCTATAAAGAATGCTTGCTTAGTATCTGGATTGTAAAAATACTTATCAATCATGTCAGTATAGTTCTAGATTTTAAGTATCTTACTTCCAATGTTATTCATAACCTCAGTTCCACTAAACAGACTTTCAATATATTTACTCTCAGCCACAAATGTCTCTATTTTTTCAACATAGGCAATATTTATTTACTCTGAGAAACTGTACATTTAAAGTGATTAAAGTTTTTCCATTTTCATTATGTATTGCTAACCAAACACATCCTCGGCTACAAAATATTCATCTGAGTTGAGGTTGAATATTTTCTAGAAAGTCGATCTTTTGTTGAACAAATTGTTTCCCTAGAATGTGTAATTTCTAATCTCAGTTATCGTAATATTACGCTTGTAGCTTTGATTTTACTAAAGTTAAAGCATTTAGAATAGAGGCTCTCTTTCGATCAGATTTATAATCAAATCACTTAAAACAATTACTGTATGAGGGGAATCTCTTTGAAGAATTAAATCATTTGTGCCGTTAAGGATAGTATAATTCATTATTTTCGGTATGATCTTGCAGAAAATAGGCGGTGTAAGTCTTACATATTCTTCCTTAGTAGATTTCAATGATTCAATTGAGTTGAACTAGGTTTTTACAGAGGCTTAATTATTGAGATCAATATTGACTGTAAAGTCAATATTTGTGTAGTTTATTGTAAGATTCAACATCTAATTTTCATTTTAAAATTCTGAGTATCTATTTGCATCTTTTAGAAGATTCTAATTGATCTCTGGAAGTTTAAAGTCACTCAATTATGGATCAAACCCTTCATATTTGTTGATTAGTGATGAGTTCAGATAAGGTATCAGATAAAGCAGGAAAGTCAAGCTTTGCTATAATTTGCTCATTTTCATATTTAAATTATTGAATTTAATTATTTCTTATAAGTATTTATTAAGCAGAGAATTAATGGAATTAAAGTAGACACCTACAGAATAGCAAATAATAAAGAAGATACCAGCTTATCATGTACCACTAAGATCAAATGAAATTTTGGTAACTAGAAAAAAACCTAATGTAGTCTACATGAAAAGAGCGCATGAATTGTTTTTTAAATAGAATCAATAGGAAATTTATATCTAAGGTATAGGTGCAGCTGTTGAAAAAGCAATAGACATCAGTCTCGATTTATAGGAGAAATATAGTAATATATAGATTGAATTATAGACATTTACTATGCCGTTAAGAGATATAATTGTATCTAAGACAGATTAATCAGATATATAAGGTGAAAATATAAGGTTCAATTCAGGAGTCTGTATAAAAGTTATTAGATCAAAATGATTTCCTTAGCCTTTCACTGATTTTTGTATACCTATATGTGAGAAGCTTTAGTAAATAATCTTTTAATTTTTGCATTTGTATTATATTTTAGAAAGAGGCAATATCTTATATGATTCTTCTCTATTAGTAATATTATTAAAGCGGGAATTTCAATTTTTATTGGAAATGGAACGAAAAGTATTATTAGTTAAAGTTCTTAAATATTTCAAAATAGTCATAGTATATTACCCTAGTTCATACGAAAATTACAACTAAGATGCCTCGACTGCTCACTAACTAATTTGGTTGACCTGATCGAGTTCATCTGAGTTTTATGATAAGTACAGACTAGAAAAGCTAATCATATCTTGATTTTCAGCTTAGTTAATACTAGGCTGAAAACAAGATTTATTTTATGTTTTCTAAGTAGTATTATTAACTGATAATGTGATAAAATCACACATCTTTTGCCTTTTTTAACCTTTGTTGCTACTGATAACATCCAACTAATTGTCATTCTGATCTCCTAAAGAAACTTTTCTCTTGCCAAGAGTCTGTCCAAATTTGTCAAAATTCAATTTTAATTAGTTTGGTAGACTCCATATAGGTGTTCTGGTCTTTGAATTTTGGACAGAGAATTTTCCTGATTTCTGATCTTAAGATGGCCGCAATAAATTGCGGAATTCGTTATTCAAATCGTTTAGAGTTTTGCCCTTATAGTGACTAATTTCTTACCTCACTGATACAGAAGATTCATCCTTTAAACTTACTAAATCCACCTCGAAAATATTTGCATCTTTTTCCATTTCAATGTCATTAAATTTGCTATTGAAGTTTGATAACCCAGCCATCGTTTTATCTTTATTTCCCTACTTTTCGTCTAATTTCTGTTGTGACTCCATACTTGATTTAAGAGGCACCCAGGTAAACTTAGGAAGGATAGTATTAATACTAGGAGCTTTTTAGATATTTTTGCATGATTTTTTAGGAGATTTATCATCTTTATATTGGAAATTTTCGAAAATATCGAAATTAGTTTGGCGGCAACTCTCTTAACTTAAATTCCAGTCTACTGTCCTATATTGAAATATAAGAATTTGATAAAATCCATGAGAAAAAGTGATTACTCATTATTTGAGGCGACTGTTGGAGTAGAATTCTCAAAATCGAAATTATAGTAGATTGACTTTTATTTGAGTTGAGAATCAAGACTTTCCTGAATTTTGTCCATAAACTGATTTACCAGTGTCTTTGTATTAGAGTGCATTTGTATGAAATTAAATTATTATTTCTTGTTTAGTCTGTCTACTTTAAATAATAGAAGCAATAATACCTGCTTTGTCTAAATACTTTCTAATTGATACATTCATCAATCAACTAACTATCTAAACACTCCAAATAACTTATCCTTGGGGTTTTGGGGTTTTGGGGTTTTGGGGTTTTGGGG